AGACGTGCTGCTCCCAGAATGCCCCACAGACGTGCTGCTCCCAGAATGCCCCACAGACGTGCTGCTCCCAGAATGCCCCACAGACGTGCTGCTCCAAGAATGCCCCACAGAAGGAAGCCCTGGGTTTGTCCATCTTCAACCCAGTAGAGAAAAGTGGGCCTGACCCTCTCAGAGAGCCACATGGGTGGACCTGCTCTCCTCAAGAACGTGGGTTTGAGAATGGATACAACGGCCCATTAAGGAGTTAGCTGTTAATCCATCTAACTTTAATCCAGCTGTTTGTTGAAGGAGCCGGGGTAGCGTATGTTTCATCCTCCCACCACCCTTTGTATAAAGAAGTGCCTCCAGTTTTTAAATGTACTTCCACATAGTTTCCTCTGGTAACCTAATGCTTAATAATTCCAAATATATTTCAAAAGGATTATTCTGCAAACTGGAGATCGTTGTAATCAGGGTGAAGATCTAAAGAGACACAGAGGACATGGGAGCCCTCTAGGGGCAGGACGGAGCACGTCCAGGGTACTGAAGCTAGTTCGACAATTAACTTGGGAACACACATCTATAAAGGTTGGATCAAGTTCAGTGCTCAGCCTTCTCTAGGAAAACACCTACATTGCCGACAAAGACTTTTACACTAAGAAAGTCTCAGCAGACCAGCATCTCCCTTGGTAAGTATTCTCATTTCAGTTTCTTTCGTGATTGCAAAGTAGCGTTTTTGATTTATTATTATAGTTGAGATGTCATTTTACATTTAATGCTATGAGATCATATGGGCCGCGAGTCAAGATTGTTTCTAGTCCGCCTGATGACGTAAAAAAGATCACCTGTTCACGGTTCTCTGTACAGAGGTGTTCCGCGAGATGAAAAGGTTCATGAACTACCCACGAATAGCGAATGCTATTCTCTCTGCCTCGTTTAACTGTGCTACACATGTACTAGGCACCCCTGACTCCACTGACTGAAAGTAGATTCCCCGAAATTAAGGAAAATGCGTTTTGCTCCCTCTAGCGTTAGATGACATGATGGCACCGCACATTGACTTGACCATGAAATTGAAAGGACACCGTTGGAATTGGAGTAATAGGATGGAAACGCGGTGTTGAAACAGGCTTTTTCCAACACGCAGTTAAAAGGAGGAGTATGTGCCCTAAGGGACGCAGACGATTTTCAAGACAAAAACTGAGCAAATCAGAGAACATTTCAAAAGCCGTACCTTTTTCTTCTGTGCTCTGCTTTCCACTACGGGGACGGTTGGCTCTTGACCCTGGCCTTGAGACAGCGGTGTTTAAAAAGTCAATCGCTTGTCTGTCTGGGACACTTGAACTAGGAGACCGGCGGGCGGCCCGTGGATTTCAGCGTGTAGTCGGTGTGCGGAGCAGTGAGCCCACGGAGAAACAAGTAGGGGATAGAAACGTTACAGCAAGAAATTCACCTGTACTTTTCCTTTAATTTTTTTTAATTATTTGTATTAGGTACAGCAGTAATACCCTAAGAATAATAGTCGCCTTAACCTGGTCAGTTTAAAACACACAGGAACAGACTCGTGATGTTAAATTTCAATTCCATTGGAAAAAATACAAACATATCGTTTGTAATTGACTTACTTATGATACTGGCACGTTATTAAATACACAAAGTGAAACGGTCTGGGAAGATTCCTGCGTTTGAACATTTGAAAATAGGTGTAAAGGCGTATTTGCAGATTATTTCGAAATGTAAAAACGTGAAAGTGCTGCGGACTCTTTGTTCACAGCTGAAACTTTTTTCATCATATCTGTATTGTAATATGTACCCCTGACGATTTGTGATGTTATAGGTACTCTTGTTTGTATTGCATTTTATGTTGTTATTGTTCGAATAAAAAGTTTTTCTTTTTAATTCTGTCATAATCGTGAAACCCACACACTGCTGTTACAGGCTCCTTCCTCTACTTGGCCTAGAACGGGAAGTTCTTCGGTTTCGTACCCAGACCCGAGTGAACCGAAACCGAAACCACGGGTTCGAGTAGCTTAAAGTTTCAGGCTCTGCGCTCGGGAGTTACTTGGCTAACCACCCCGCAGAAAGAGGTACGGTTCTGGCTCAAGGGGCTTGGGCGGGTTCAGCGGCGTCGGTCGGAGCCGGTGATTTAGCGAAGGGACGAGTCGTGGTCCACCGGGCGTCGTGTAGGCAGATCGTATCCGCGTTTCTCTTCGTTTCTGACATCGGTTCGTGGCCTGTACGCTAGAAGACGAGGCAGATAGTGTTCCTGAAAAAGTGCTCATGGCCGGGGAACACGGAGTAAACCAGATACTTAGTATTCGTGTATGTATATATATACAGTATATACATGTTATATCGTGTACTTTTCTCTCTTTTAGCTCTTAAAATGAAGTTTCCAGGGCAGTGGGCATTTCCAGTTTGAGTACACAGTTGAACTGTGAAGTAACGCTACTCCACACCCTCTTGCTGTCTCTATCAGACGTGAAAACATACCCGAAATCACGATTTGTTATCAGCTGGAGAGAGAAAAACGCTGAGATGGGACTGTTGCGGGAGGGTCGCCTTTGCTTTTCTTTTCTGTGCTTGTCCTCAGTCCCGATGTAGAAACAAAAGTGAAACTTCCTCCCAGTCTCGTACAGCACCCAACCTTCCCTGCGTTTCTGGGTGACAGAAGCACAGTGAATGCAGGGTAGCTCCCCGGCAGACTGTGGACTGAGTGGCTCAGGGCTGGCAGAAACGAGACAGCACAACACCCCAGCAGCACTCCTGTCTGCCGTCCTGGCACCCCCTCTTTCAGAAGGGGGGCAGGATGCCCTGCTGGGCAGTGCCCAGGAGAGGACACCCTTCCTCTCACAAGATGCATCTGATAATAATAATAGTAAACTTTATTTTATATAGCGCCTCTAAAGGTGGCTTCTCAAAGCTCTTTATAGAATGACAACTACAATAAGAAGACTACACAAGATAAAACACAATGATGGTATACAGAGGAGACCGTGGATGGGGGTAGTAAGAAGAGCAGAGGGGTGAAGAATGGAACAGTTCATGAAGACTCTTCTGAAGAAGAGGGTTTGGAGTCTGGATTTGCAGGAGTTTAGAGAAGGTGACTCTCTGATATCCTTGGGGAGAGAGTTCCAGAGCTTGGGGGCATAGCAGGAGAAGGCCCTGTCGCCCATACAATGTACTGTAGACGGGCTGGGGGGACAGTTAGGAGAGCAGAATTAGAGAGCGAAGGTTGCGAGATGGGGAGTAGGGCGATAATAGATCAGACAGGTACTGAGGTGCCAAGCCGTGCAGAGCCATATAGGTGAGCGTGAGGATTTTAAAGTCTACACGGAATTTGACCGGAAGCCAGTGCAAGGACTCCAGGATAGGAGTAATGTGAACACTTGCACTAGACCTGGTCAGGATTCTGGCTGCTGAATTTTGGACATACTGTACTGCAATTTGTTCAAAGTAGATTTAGATACCCCAGCGAGTAGAGCATTACAGTAGTCAATTCGAGAGAACACAAATGTGTTGATCAGCTTTTCAGCCACAGTTAGTGACAGCATAGGGCGCAGTCTAGCGATATCTGATATCTGAGCCCCCAGCCCTCTCCTGAGAGTACATGGTCAGCCATATCTGGAGGGGGGCGTCCTGTCCTCCACTGGGCACAGCAGGATGAGCGCTGTTCGGGAGGAGAGAGGGCAGGGAGAGAGGGAGGAGAGAGAGGGAGGAGAGGGCAGGGAGCCAGACCTGCAGTCCTCAGGTCCTGTCCCCCACTGCCTCGCTCCGGTGACAGTCGGCCCTGGGAGCAGTAACGCAGCCCTTCCCTTTCCACACCCCCAGAGCCCGCAGACATGTCGGTGGAGTTCTTCGGCTGGGAGGTGCAGTACGATGACGACCAGCACCTGGCGGCGGAGCAGGAGCCCAAGGCGGGGCGCCTGTACACCATGTACCACGGCACCTCGGTCAGCCAGGCCCGCAACATCATCGCCGGGGGCTTCAGGCAGTCCCCCGACGGCATGCTGGGGCCCGGGGTGTACGTCAGCAGGAACCCCCGCAAGGCCGAGCGCTACCCCCTCCAGGCCCCCGCCACGGACAAGGTGGTGCTGAAGCTGAGGGTGGACACGGGCCGGGTGAAGCGGATCGACACCGACAACCACCCCCTGCAGAAGACCTGGCACAGCCACGGCTACGACACCGCCTGGGTGCCCCCCAACTGCGGCATGAAGGCCGTGCCCAGCGGGCTGGAGGAGGACTGCGTGTGGGACCCCAGCAAAGTGGAGGTGATCGACGTCACCCGCGCCCCCGACGCCAACACCCAGGCGGAGCTGAAGGGCCTGATCGCGCAGCAGCAGAAGGGGAAGAGGGCGGCGGCGGCCGGGGCCGACTCGTGCCGGCTGTGCAAGAGGAGGGCGGACTCCGCCCACCCCGTGGAGCGCTGCTGGGGCTGTGGGAAGAGCATCTGCACCTACATGCCCAGACACCAGTGCGTGTAGCTGCGCGCCCTCTGTCCCGTCTCGGGCTCCCTGGGCCGCACTGGGGCAGGATGTCTCCGGCCTGCTAGAGTGTAATTCCAAGGACGGATGACACGATGTTAAATATCATTTATGACATATTAGATATGGCTGCTTTCTCATCGGTATTGATTGTATCACATCCTGCAGCCGGAAAACCTTGAAATGGACTAAAGTGCTGTGCAATGGGAGTCTCCTTCGCTGTCATCTTGTTTTTCTCTTGTTTACTGCCCTACTGGACATTTCAGAGCTGTTCCTATTTCTTGTACTAACCCTGAGGTCTTGGGACATGCCTTTATAGCTTACCACTGCTCTACAGGACCCTCTCTCTGCAGGCTGACAGACACTGACAGAGGCCCAGGGCTGCAACACCAGACCTGCCTGCAGGCCGTATCACTGTGTCCTACACAGCACACTGACAGAGGCCCTGGGATGCTGCAACACCAGAGACATTTCTGCAGGATGTAACACTGTCCTGTGCAGCTCACTGACAGAGGCCCAGGGCTGCTACACCAGAGACATTTCTGCAGGATGTAACACTGTCCTGTGCAGCTCACTGACAGAGGCCCAGGGCTGCTACAATAGAGACCTGTCTGCAGGCTGTAACACTATGTCCTGCGCAGCACACAGACAGAGGCCCAGGGCTGCAACACCAGAGACCTCTCTGCAGTCTGTAACACTGTCCTACACAGCACACAGACAGAGACCCAGGCTCTCTCTGGAGTGTAACTTTTTGTGCCTGCTCACTGCCATGCTGAGGTTTGTGCAGAATATATTTTTTCAGGGATTTTAAAAGTTGATATGTACATTTTTTTGTTCTTATCTAATTGCTGTACTGTGGACAATGCAAGATAGTGCAATAAAAATAGACATTTCTTTAAAAAAATCACCTCAGTTTATTTTGTATGGACATATTGATATATCCAGTGAAGCACACTGTCCAGTTGTAATTTAGAAATAGTTTTGAAACAATGTGCACACAAAAAAAAACTAGTATTTTTAAAAAGAGAGAAATGAACAATTTTATATAGAAATCAAACTTACAATAAAAAGTCTTCTAAGAGCAGCTCCCTGGCGCAGAGCATCAGGGAGCACAGGGCACAGTGACGAAGGGACCAGCAGGAGGCTTCAAAATGGGCAGCGAACTCCAGCCATCAACAGAATCACAGGCTGGTCGAGCTACAGATAGTTAAAGGGACCGAGCTACATTTTCCAACAGGTAAGGTCATATGTTTACATTGAACCCTAGAGATGGAGAAGCTATAAGAATCGACCTTTGTACATAATAAAACTAGAAACTGAAATAAGTAACAGATCTATAAAGAGTTAAGAGTCGCTAAGCTAATATGACTATAGAATAAAATTCAAAACTATGCGATGCAGATGAACAGAGTTACAGCTGGAAAATGTGAAATATTGAACACTGGTTTTGTGTTGTTCTGCATTTTGAAAGAAGAAGAAGGGTCAGATTTTCCTTTGTTGTGTTCCTAAATGCAGGCTTCTCCGGGCACAAGATCTTCTCCCCCATGTGGACAAGAGACTCTCTGCTCAGCCAGAGTCACTCAGACCTCACCAGCTGACAGTGTTTGTGCCCCATCAGCACCAGGTGTCAGGTGGTGGTTCAGTCCTGCTATTCTGTTGTAAGTTTGAGATATTTTCTTGGCTTTATTGAGACTCCTGTTTTGCTTACTGTATATACTCATTGAATTAATTGTAGGCATCTATAAGACTATAAGCCCTTCTAGGTGTTTGCTCGGTAATTGAATAATTCTCACTTTAGATTAAGCTTTATTTTCCTTTGGGGGAAATTTGTTTTACGGCACAGTCCAAAACAACAATACAACCAAGAAGACATTCCGAACAGAGAAGATTTTACAAGAGTGTTACAGGACATAAGAGAGAAGGGAGTTACTTTACATCGAAGTGAGATTGCATCAGGGATGAAAGATGTCCTGAGTCTGCGTCTGGGGACACGGAGGTGTCTCCCAGATGGGAGCAGTGGAAATTCCCAGTGGAGGGGGTGAGACACTACCCATAATCCTCTTGGCCTCTTGTACAGGACTCTGTTTGTAGTGGATATATACAGTGCAGTCCATAAGTATTTGGACAGTGACAATTTTTGCTGTTTTGGCTCTGTACTCCAGCACAATGGGCCACAACTTGAAAAATTGATCTTTGAAGACTTTGTTTCTATTTCTGTCTGGTGAGTGGAGACAGTAAGACACAAAAGAAATCTGGCAGTTTACACTTAATGCCCAAGGGGTTTTCTTCAATTTAAGACCTTAACCGGGCATCTGCTGTGTTTATTTCCAGGGAGATTACAAAATGTTTGAGGGGGCAAAATTCCAAGTGGAAAGTAGCTCTGGAGGGCCTCATCAGTCTTCAAAATGTTCTTCCAGTTTGGTCCTGTGAGACTGACTGGACTGGTCTCATTAATGCACCTCGAGCACAGCAAATGGGAAAATACGAATTCGTTTTTATTAATGGAAATGTTAATATATATATATTCACAAACGTAAACGAATGTTAGGACCTCCACAAATTACGACACCTTTATTTGCAAAAGTATGCAGAAATGTACTTTATTTTTTTAATTTAAAAAGAGGAAATCCGACCAAATGATAAATTATACTTTCAATAATTGAACTATAAAAGAATAAATTAAAATTGTCAAGGTACCAATCCCAATCAGGCTTTTTTGCAAACGTTTAAGCAGTAGGTTTTTCCACACAGCAGTTTCTTTTTGATAATTGCTGCATGTGTTCCCTGCACTTTAACATTGCAATACACAGACACTCTTCCATATAGGTGTGTGTATATATATACACACCTATACATTCAGATTCTTTCTGAGAAAACCACCATTGCCCTTCAAAAGTGATCAGAGAAATTTGATAAAACAACTAGTCAATTTATTACATGGAAATAACATTCCATACTCAACACAGATTAAGAAACAGTAGTTCTTGCTCAGCCAACTTGTATTAGAACAAGCAAAAACAGTAATTGACACACATAGAGCATACAATGTGGTATATTTGGAATTTCAGAACTTTGATTAAGTTCCCTCTAAAAGATTGTCAGTCATTTCGACTGAAAATTTGTTGATAGAAAAGAGAGTCAAAATCAAGGATTAATGTTTAAATTGGGTTGATGTAAGTGGGTGCCGTATAAAACTTTTCTGTACTTGGACCACTGCTGTTTCTAATTTACATTAATGATCTAGATTCTGTTACAATTAGTAAACTAGTTTCCCAAACTTCCAGATGATCCCAAAGTAGGAGGAAATACCGTAGAAGAGTGTTAATAAAAAAATAGATAAATATCAATTTTGATAAAGCTCAAGACTGGGCAAACACCTGGCAGCTGAAACTTTAATGTCGACAACACTGAGACTGAGGCTGGACGTGTGGAATGTGTGGAAGCAATAAAAAGGATGTCAGGATATAAAGTCAAAAGCATAGAATTCAAATCAAGGGATGTTACATTAAAATTGTACAATGCAATACATAGCCCTTGATTTTAAATATTGTGTACAAATTTGGTCACCACATTACAAAAAAATATATTGCTGCTCTGTAATCAGTCCACAAAGGTGGAAACAGATTCATTCTGGCACTCAAGTTAGAACTATGGATTTAAAACTGAGAAGATGGTCTTTATACAAAGGGTTCTGGGAGTGTGGAACAAGTTATCCAGCTGTGTGAAGCCGATACCTTAGTTTCCTTCAAGAAATGCCTGGAAGAGATCCTTGGATCAATAAGATACCAATGACGAAATGGGCTAGGTGGCTGTTTCCATGGAGTGAGATTACATGGACAACCGGATAACTTTTGCAAATTTGGAAAAAGTCAGGATTGAATTGTATCCAGTTAAGTAACTATAGCAACACATCCTCTACTCTCATCCTGCTCCGGATCAGGTTAATAAACTAAAATGAACCTTCGAAGTTTCCTTCAAACCCGAAAAAGGCTCCACAGCCGAAATATTGTGCTCCTTTTCTTCTCTTTTCGGCATGGAATAAACCTTTACTTGTTCCTTTACAGACTACATATGATGATGCAGCTACCTACTTGAACCAAAATTAACCTGACTTTGAGGACAAGAGCTTGACTCACAGAATAATCAGTCCCCTCTGCAAAAAACTGGCGCCTTTCTTCAGGGTTCCAGTTCACATTAGAACTTTGCAAGTTCTAATGTGAAAAATATACAATTTCTGCAGAGTATACTTTATATTCATGATCTCTTAAGCCCTTTCAATGTCAATACTAAATCAAAGCTAAGTGTTTAAAAGAAAATCAAATTCTACAGAGGTCCGAGATGCCTTGTGACTGTACAAGTTTTTTTTTAACTGTGTTGGTAACCCAGAGTGCTTTGGTGAACTGAATGTGTCACTCAATAAGTCATTTGGTACAATACAATAGTTTTGCATGCATTAAAAATGTCTCCTGGCCATACATTAGTGAATAACATCATATTCTCATATTTAATTCTATTCACTGTAAATGTAGCTTCTGTGCCCTGTAGCTACGTACCCTGATCTAAACACTTCTTACAGCATTTCCTCATGTAATAGGTTCTCCGGACTGCACAGACATCCTCATTAAAGCCAAACACGGATGGGTTTTTTTAATGCATACACAGCATTACAGTATAGTACAGTAAACACATAAAACTCCCAACAACAAAAAAATTGGGATATTTGTACCTGGTTTATGACTTCCTGCAACTTGAAAGGGGAGCTGCAACTATGCTATTTGATTCACACTGCCAAAATGTTTCTGAAGGACTTAATTCACACTTCAAAAATGTTGGGAAAAGAAAACATTCTTTATTGTGTTGATGACGATTTCTTCTCCTCCAGTCTTATTCTGTTCACAATTTTGTTGGGAACATTTTCATTGAAAGGATTGTACTACACTGTATCGTACTCAACCACTGTGGATGATATTCTGGTACTTTGTCTTGACCTGCTTCTAGGTCCTCCTATTGTGGCCCAGCTACTGTAAATCCATAAATTACTGCTGCATGAAAACAATATTGTACAACTACACAATATCTTAAAGAGGAGCTCCTCTTCAGGGCCATAATAATGTAAATTAAGTAATTCCCCACCCAACAGATTCATGCTCACTCAATTTTTTTTTCTTTCTTCACATATTTCACTGGATTTCATAATTGACTTTAACATCCAATTCAGCAATACTTTGCCAGGTGTCTTCCCTGGCTTTTGCAGCAGCTACAGAATAGCTCCCTGCACTTACAACAGCTTTTATCTTCATAGTTTTCCAAAAAGACCCTAAATGTATTGTCACTGGATTAAGACGCACATTGTTTCCCAGTGGTGTTGCTGGCGTGGATGAAGGAATCGATACTCAGCCCTCCTTGCCTACTAAAGTGTGGCATGAACGTGCAGTTAGTCAGATAGTTTGAACCTGAGTTACTGTAACTGGATAACTTGAACCTGAGTTTGCCTTTGTGAAACGGACTTAACCTGAACTCAGTTATCGGGCAAGTTCTATCTGCATAATGTGAGAATTAGTTGAACTTGCTTCGTGAAACAGCCCTACCTTTCTTATGTTCTAAGGGGGCAACAGGTTCAGACAAAATGGCAGCCCCCGTCTGGACCACATTCCCAGAAAGCCGAGGGAAAAGCTTAGTAAAAGAAGCTGATGCCTCAAATCACCTGCCCAGCTGCTGGAAGACGGCTGCGTCAGGTGACAGTTTTAAAACCAGCAGAGTGAGATGTACAGTCTGAATGACAGAAAGCAGATCCTCTATGATAGGCAATCGCCAGAGGGAGCAGGAGCAGCCAACAGCACAGAGGAGCAGTGTGAATTTTTGGAATTACTTTTGGAAGTGCTTTCTGAGCCTTTAAGCTGGAAGCAGCCTACCTGCCTGCTACAGTATGTTAGAGACTGGAAGAAGTTCAGTTAACTGAGCAAGGAACTAGGTTTAAAGATTGGTTTCCCCTCACATTGTAAAGAGCACTTGGTGTATACCTTACATTTGTCATTTGTGTCTATATTTCTGGGCCTGTCTATCTTCCTTTTTCTTAAAAGGATCTTTGTTATCGTTTTCCTGGACAGCTGGGCAAACAGACACAAAAAGCAGACATACTGTAAGTGCCCTTTACAATGTGTGAGATAAGCAAAACATATAAAACTAGTTCCTTTTTCAGCTGCTAACTAAACTTTTTCCATTCCCTAACTTAGGCAGTTAAGCTACTTACTAGGTTAAAATCTTCACAAAAAGCACATCCAAAAAATAACTCCAATTCACTCCTTTTCTTTCTCCTGTTGTTAGTTGCTCCTGCTCCAACACTGTCCAACACTGAGAATCTGCTTTCTGTCGTACAGACTGTACATCTCACTGACACAGACCTCTGCTTCCTAGGTTTTAAGATGTCACCTGACTAATGGCCTTCCAGCAGCTGGATTGAGGGCAGGATGCCACTCCCCACCCATGTATGAGGAATGTGGTTCACAAAAGCTGCCATTTTGTCTCAACCTGCTGCCCTCTTATAGAATGTTTTGCAGAATTATTTTTAAAATCAGCAGAATTACTTAATCTTGCAATATTGTTGTTATCTTTGCTCCTGATTTGTATAATAAGAAATATTGTAGAAATTCAAGATCTTTCAAATACATAGTAGATATGTCATGAGCCCCATGCTCAGAAAAAGGGCGATTTGCAGTAGTTCCCTGAGGTCAATCAGCCCGACTCTGAGATTTTAGTTTAACATGATTTACCATGTGACAGAAGGAAGGTGCAGCCTGTTGGTTAAAAGCACCAGACCGTTAAGACACAACACGAACTCCAGATGAAGGAAAGCTTACAGATTGCCCAGGGCAGCTGCTGCAAAAACAGAATGATACAGGGAAAAGCCATAAAAAGGTGGCAACATAAACTCCACAATTGCTTTGAAGACATTGTAAAATATTCAGTCTCATTTTGTTACAGCACTCATATCATTAAAAAATCGACCAATTCGTGAGGGATATACAGATTGCACATAATGCCACTGTGATTGGAATTTAGCCTGGATACTGGTGTACTCTTACTCTATGAATGGACAACGCAGTTGAAGTTTAATGGCAAAGTAGTTGGACTAGTTGGACAACCTCTACTAAGCATGCAGCCAGAGTTGAAACTGCAGGTCAACATGGAAAAGGTCAACCCACTCATCGTCCAACACAATGTTCAGCAGATTAAAATGAGTTCTCTTTTGCAGAAACCAAGGAGCGTCTGTGGTGGGAGCAGCAGTACAGAGCCTGCAATGTCGGCGTGAAACCCTGTGACGCTCAAAAGGCCAGAACAAGGCAAAAGATGAAAATAAAACTCTTCGGTGCTAAAGACTGTGACACAGACAGCCAGAGACAGAGGGCAAAAAGGGAATTAGGGCTGTAGGCTATACAAAAGTTTGTTAAAAGATTCAGACGATAACATTCACCAAACTACAGACAATTGTTCTAGACAAAATTGTGTAATTAGAAATCAATTAAAAGAAGATATGGACAGTCACACAACACACACCACTGACCGGCAGGTTGAAACAGTGTTGAGGACCTGAAACACCTGACTAATGGTTCCTGCAGGTCACTATTCACAGACATGGGTCAGACTGAACCCCTCTGTCCTCTCGTGTCAATCGCACTCTGCATACGGGGGGTTTTCCATGTACAAGTTTTCCATGTACGCCATGTCAGTGTCAGCCCAAAGGAAAAGGACTCTCTGGACTCCGGAATGGCAACAGGTGAGGTGGGGGTGGGGAGGGATCCCCGAGAACAGCTGGAACATGATGGTCTTGTCACCTGAGCGAACAGCATGAGAGCACATCGTGTCAAACACTTTCACAAAGTGGTGACAGCAATACAAAACACACAAAAATCAAAGCCACCTGTAGACCTATGCCAACACAAAGTTAAAGCACTTGTCTTGAGCCCTGTCAGGATGCATTATGGGAAGACTGCAATGAAATGATGCTGCCTGCTGGGAAGCAGTGGGGGACCCCTGGGAATTGGCTCCACTTTACATTTACATTTATACATGCCAACTGACATGTCCACAAGCTCCAAGAGGACACTACAGAAATTCACCATGTTTAGTGGCAAACCCATTATTGCCCACACAGGTGGGATGTGAAAGCTGGGGCACACGTACACAGCACCCCCCCAAGTGAAGTGAGAGAGGTGACACATGCTCCTGCTTGGGTCCGCGCATCGGCAGCCGTTCCAACATCTCGACCGCCAGAAAAACATTTCTCTCACCGAAAACAGTAGGGGGCTTTGGAAATAACAACACAACAACAGTAATTATAAAGACGTGCCGATAGCAAGGCTGTACAAAAACACTGTCATTATTGTGAGAGGCAGCTGCACCAGCGAGCCACATGCCAGCTGAACCAGGGCCCAGAACCAGGACACGGACAAGGACAAGGCCTCAGACAGAGAACACCTGGGCTGAAACAAAAAATCCCTGAATGGCTTCTGCCTAGTTGAATGGACACTGTGCCAAACAGCACAAGCACTGGCCATCACACTGAGTTTACACCTGTCCTTTCTTCCCACACCTTTTAAAAACTCCAGAGCTGAAAAGTTTCACAAAAACAAGGTCTCTGTGGTGCTTGCACCCGGCACTTTGTTCTTCCTGATTGTGCGGCAGGGACAGCAGAGCCCCTCCGTTTACGGAGCTCTTCCAAGGGGGAGAGAGCGAGAGGAGATCTGGACTGAAAGAAAGGGGCTGCGTGTCGGAGGCCCTCCGCTGCTCAGTCCTCAGAGCTGTCCTCCGACTTCTCCTCGTCCGCCACCTTCCAATTCCTCCTCCTCCTCTTCCTGCGCAGCTCCTCCTCGTGCTCGCTCTCCGCCCGGGCCTCGTGGGGTCTCTTCCTGCGGCCGCGGGGGGTCCCTCCCGTCTCCTCGTCCTCCGAGCTGCTGCTGCTGCTGCTGTGCGAGTCCTTCCTGCCGCCCGGGCCCTTCTCCTTCCTCCTCTTCCTCCGCTTCTCCTTGCTGCTCTTCTTCCTGCGCTTGCCCGGCTCCTCCTCCTTCTTCCTCTTTTTGGCCTTCTTCTTCGTCTTCTTCTTCAGCGTCTTCTTGGAGCGCTTGCGTCGGCCCGACTCGGGGCTCGCCGACCTGGGCGCCTTCTCTCGGCGGTGGATGTTCTCGCCATCGCTGCACTGCTGGTCACTGGGAGAGACAGGGGTGACAAAGTCAGTGTCTCTCAATTGACAGGCCGATCTTGACCGACTGGGGAGCAGATGTATCCTTGGAGGGCCAGCTGAAGTCTTCCTGCAGATACTGGATTGCGATAATATTACAGGAGTGGGTCACACCCTCTCAACTCCCCTGCCATTTCACTTTAGCCCCAGCTATACTGTAAAACGCTCCAAGAATTATCCACTGCTTTTACATTCACGAGACATACGTGTATGTGCCATGACATATAGTCTATATAATACTTGTCCTTTGTTAAAATAAAAGGCACAGACACTTGTTGCTGCAAAAAAGGACCATAAAACCAGATCCCACTAAGAGTATGCAGTGTAACAGACTGGGTACATTTTACAGGTAAACCCTGAAGGGGATGAGTATGCTGCACAGTACAGAATTGTGGGGTTTCTTACCTGTCTGTCTCAAACTCTTCGGGGTAGAGCTCCTTAAAGCCACTGTGGCCCCACCTGGAACAGACAGCAGCGTGTTGTTCAACATCACTGAGCACAGCGCTAGGAAACAGGCAATTGCACAAACCTGTATGTACAGTAGATGTACCTATAAGGGACACAGCTGGATTCCATGAACACTAGGAACACTAGATCAGACTAGGAACTAGTCAGAGTGGTAACAGTTACCCCAGATAATATGAGGAATGCCATTTACATTGCAAGCTGCTGCAGCTACTGTAGTAAGAAAATGTTTGTGCATCAGGAGAATCAGCCTTCTCAATGCGCCTGCGCTGACATGTCAGTGTCAGCTGTTTTAACGCGGATGACTGGCCAGACACCAACCTGTCGGGGTCGCCGGCCTCGAACTCGTACAGCTTCTTGGTCCAGTGGCGGGCCTCGCGGACGTCTCCCTCGGAGCTCTGCGCCGTTGCCGCCCCCCCGTCCCCGGGGAGCTCCTCCTCGTCGAAGCCGTCACAGCGCATGCGGCCCCTGACACACCAAACAGCACAAAATTACCGTTCCTCCTCGCAGCTCTGCACGGCCAGTTTCAAAGGATCGGGAACCGTGCAGGGGTCTCAAAACAGGAACTGGAACAGAAAAGCTGGAACCAGACCCAGATCCTGTGTGAGTGCGCCCTAAGCAGGAATGCAGAGTCAGTGATTTTGAACAGCAGACAGCGACACAACCTGGCCTGTGCTGATAGCATCCTGCAGGACCTCCTGTCCAGGGCACTGGACACTTTTAGAAATCAATCAGTCCAAGTTCTCAGAAAAAGCTCCCCATGCATTGTTCAAATCTTCATGAAGGTAAATTATTACTGATCCCCATTTGTAGAATCAATAGGCTAAAAGCCTCTCTCATTGGTTAGTGTTTTAAAAAACTCATTCATTTAGCATCTCTTTAAGCCCAGTAATGTAGTCTTGGACAGAACCCTTGTTAAACAGAATGCTAAATAGGATATTAAATAGAATTTGCCTTTTTAAGTTGTTTTGTGTCTTGAATATAAGGAAGCAATTCTATATTTTCTATGCAGGTTGAAGGCAGGTCTCTGGTAGCTCACTGTATTGTACATAGCTGTATATAGCCATGAAGACCATGTGCTGTTTGCTTGTGTAGCTATAACAACATAAATATTTGTCTTATTAAGGTCCCCCCTTTTACTCTATTACCAAGCTGTGTTGGAGAAGCTAAGAGCACACATGCTGGTAATGCTCGGTATTCCCTTAAAATCAGGGTTGTTATTATTATTGATATTAGAATTTGCTATGTTTTCAGGACCTGATTTTTGGATTTTAATTTGACAGCTCCTTTTTTATACACTCCCCCCCATTTATAGTACAATACTTTAGGTTTCCTGTAACTTATATAATACTGCAGGGTTGTCTTTCTAGGAAAGATTAAGAACACTATTGAACACCACAGCCTGCTGTACAGAGCTCTTATTTAGGAGGATGCAAACCTGCTCAGGTCATGATCCAGCTTTCGTCGATGCCATCTGGCATGATCACCCAGCGTCTGGCGCTCCTTCTCCCTCATCTTCCACATCTCCGACTCCTCCTGGATCTGCCCCACCAGGAAAGAAGGAGACAAACGCAGGTGTGGTTACAGCTCGGCAAATCCCGATCACCAGCACCACAGCCTGACAGGATCTGGCAGGATCTTATAATCATAAGAGTAATAATAATTGGAGTAATAATAATACTGGAGTAATAATAATTGCTTACAATTATTATTATTATAAAAGCTTATAGCGCTTTTCTGGACACTCCACTCTTCTTTCTGTAAGTAAGAATTCCATTGTACCAGTACCGGTTACATATGGCAATAAAGTTCAAGTTCAAGTTCAAAGCGCTTTACAGGTAATGGGGATCCCCTCCACCACCAGTGTGCAGCCCCACCTGGATGATGCAACGGCAGCCATAGTGCGCCAGAACGCTCCCCACACATCAGCTCTCAGTGGGGAGGAGAGCAGAGAGTAATGTAGCCAATTCATAGAGGGGATTATTAGGAGGCCACGATTGGTAAAGGCCAATGGGAAATTTTGCCAGGACGCCGGGGTTACACCCCTACTCTTTTCAAGAAACGCCCTGGGATTTTTAATGACCACAGAGAGTCAGGACCCTGGTTTTACGTTTCATCCGAAGGACGGCGCCTGTTTACAGTATAGTGTCCCCGTCACTATACTGGGGCATTAGGACCCACATGGTCCACAGGGTGAGCGCCCCCTGCTGGCCCCACTAACACCTCTTCCAGCAGCAACCTTAGTTTTTCCCCAGGAGGTCTCCCATCCAGGTACTGACCCGGCTCACACCTGCTTAGCTTCAGTGGGGCTGCCAGTTGTGAGTTGCAGGGTGATATGGCTGCTGGCGATGAGGACGATTCTGGATTGGGGTACCGTCTGGGTGGGTTTTCTGTGGTGTTCCGGTTTCCACATTCATAAACAAATCCATGCTGTCCTGGTTAACTGACATCTCTAAAGTCGTGCGTGTGTGCATGTGTGTGTGTGCGTGCGCCCTTGATGTAGTCTGATTAGTAGCACCTGGAGTACCTGATGAACTCCTGCTTACCTTATTATGAGCATCTGTGTGACGGATGACATTTCGGAGAAGCACCTTTCCCATAGGAACACGAGACATGATCAAACCTATACAGACAAAAATGTAAATACACTTAGCCAGGGCAACTTCTTTTGCTAACATGCAAGAAGATAGAAATTTCTTAATCAAGGACCCTGGACTTTGAATTTGCACCCCAAATGTACAGTCGTTACAGTTCAGTTTCATGCCCCAGGTTTTCACAAATTAGCACTATCAAAACACAAAACATTCAGGCGTCTGCTGAGTACCTGAGCTCATACAGGTCAACCAGCCAGCAAAGGTTTTCAAGCATCATGCTGGAACAACAGACATCACACGCAAGACCTCAGAAGCTGATTATCATATGAAAATTCCAAGATTTGCTATTACATGTGCTGAACGTGAATCTGTTGGGAGAACTGACACCTAGCCTAACCAGGAATATTCTAAAGATGGTCGCAAAGAGGACTGTTGTGAGTTTATTGAAATGTCTCTACGCTGGAAAAATCTTAAAAGTCCCTTTTCAAAGCAACAACTCTTCAGCGTGGCAGAAAGGCTCAGCCCAACTGCACTGGCAGTGCTTAAGGTACCCCAAAACCCTCCTATACTCACAAACCCCCATGACTCTGGTTTTGAAGACGTTCATTTTTACTTTTACAGGAAAACACAAGTCTATAGCCCACTGGTATAATGTGGTAAACAATTTGCTTCATGAATACAGCGGTTTGATTCCCTGCTCGCTCCTGGAAAAGCACAGGGAACTGTTGACTTTATTCCCGTGTTGAGACATGCAGGCGAAAGCCTAGCTGTTCCCACTGAGAGCTCCCACACAATTAAGTAACAAAGAGACAGCAGTAGCGCACACACATTTTTCACGTGTGTGACGAGCTCCTGTAGAAGCTGTTTCAGGCTCTTTTTAGGCTCAGCAGGAGCAGTTTGGTAAAACGAAAAAGAGGGGCTCCGTTATCGCGAATTCCCAAACTTTTCATTCGTGTCTTTCTGTTTTAAATGCGGAAATTGTACCGAGTTCCATTTTCGTTTTAATACCGCCTGCCAGCTTCAGTTGACTGAAGGATGAATACCATTAAAATACCAACATAGTGCATATAAATTGATTTTGTTAATAGGCTGTTAAAATCTTACCTTTTTGTTACAGTAATTCTTTGTCCTTAAAACAAATCATGTTATTTCATCCCACTGACTTCCTCCGCTTCTCTGTTGTTTCACCGGACGTTGTTGTCATTGCTTAAACGTCCCATCCTGTTTTCCTCGCTAATAAAATATAGTGATATAAGATAGCAGTTAGGAACAATTAAACACGGTAGCACCCTGCGGTACATCGGAGGAGTAAACTGAGAATAATGTAAGCGGATACATCCATTTCGGCATTGAAAGAGACTGCATGACAGAAGAGTGTAAATCGAGGTGGGAACCAATATTTCCAGCCTGAGCTCCCACACGGATTGACGGACTGCGTTTCTATAGTTACCGAGAAGCTACAACAGAAAGGCATAGACGGGAGGCTGTGGGAAGATTTGAAAATCTCACCCAAATATCGCACACCAAGGTAGGCAGCATTTTAGAGCAGGACAAATGTGTGTTTGTATAAAAAAAAAAATACATTAATGTGATTGACTTGCGGCATTTTTATTTTCACTGTTATTTTTTTCTTTTCTGTTTTTATTAGCCTAATGATTATAGGCAATATATTATCGAAGTTAATTGGAAATCCCGAGTTATACGTCTTCATAATATGTATATATCATGAAAGGTGCTGCAAAGGAGTCACTGTCTAAGACACATTTTATATTTGCAAAGCCTCATAAAGTCGGAATATTTCCATGCCTAAATATATTTCCAGTGCAGTCCAAAGACAGTGACACGGGTATTGTTGTTTTGGCTCTGTACTGCAGCACGTTGGATTTGAAATGAAACAATGACTATGGGGTTAAAGTGCAGAATGTCAGCTTTAATTCAAAGATATTTACGTCTGTATTGGGTGAACCGTATAAGAATCACAGCCCTTTTTATACATAGCCCCCCCATTTCAAGGGACTAAAAGTAATTGGACACATTAACATCATCTTAAATAAAATTGTCATGTTTAATACTTGGTTGCAAATCCTTTGCAATTGATGACTGCCTGACGTCTGCAACACATAGACATCACCAGACGTTGGGTATCTTCCCTGGTGATGCTCTGCCAGGCCTGTAATTCAGCCATCTTCAGTTCCTGCTTGTTTCCAGGGCTTTTTGCTTTCAGTCTTGTCTTCAGGAAGTGAAATGCATGCTCAATGGGATTCAGGTCATGTGATTGACTTGGCCAGTCGAAAACATTCCACTTTTTGGCCCTGAAAAACTCCACAGTTGCTTTAGCAGTATGTTTGGGGTCATTGTCCTGCTGCAAGGTGTAGCACCATCCAATGAGTTTTGAGGCATTTGGTTGGATCTGAGCAGATAAGATGCTTCTGTACATTTCAGAATTCTTCCTGCTGCTGCCGTCTGCAGTCACATCATCAAGAAAGACAAGTGAGCCAGGTCCACTGGCAGCCACACATGTCCAATCCAGGACACTACCTCCACCATGTTCCACAGATGAGGTGGTCTGCTTTGGATCATGAGCTGTTCCCTTTTTTTTCCACATTTTCCTCTTCCCATCACTCTGGTACAGGTTAATCTTCGCCTTATCTGTCCATAAGACTTTGTCCCAGAACTCTACAGGCTTTTTTTATGTACTTTTTAGCAAACTGTTACCTTGCCTTTCTGTGGCCTTTCTTACCAGGGGTTTGCATCTTGTGGTGAACCCTCTGAGGTTATGCTGGTGTATTCTTCTCTTTATGGTAGTTTTTGACACATCTATACCTACATCCTGGAGAAGGTTCCTGCTCTGTTCAACAGTCGAAAAGGGGTTTTTCTTCACGATTGAAAGTATTCTTCTGTCATCACTACTGTGGTCTTCTCTGGTCTACCAGGTCGTTTGCTATGCTAAGCTCACCAGTGCGTTCTTGCTTCTTAATGTACCAAACAGTTGATTTTGATACACCTTCTGGCTATGTGATTGATTTATTCTGATTTTTCAGCCTCATGATTGCTGTGTTAATGACATTGACTCTTTTTTGTTCCTCATGTTGAGAGACAACAGCAACAGACTCCAGACGCAAGTGTCACACGAAGAATGAACTCCAGACCTTTTCTTAGCTCTCTTGTGCAGGAACTAACGATGCAACGACACACAGCTGGCCAAGAAACAACTGAGCAGCCAGTTGTCCAATTCCTTTTGGTCCCCTAGAATGGGAGGACTATGTATAAAAGGGGCTGTGATTCCTATATGTTACACCCAATATAGATGTAAATATTCTTCAATTAAAGCTGACATTCTGCACTTTAACCTCATAGTCATTGTTTCGTTTCAAATCCAATGTGCTGGAATACAGAGCCAAAACAACAAATATTCTGTCACTGTCCAAATACTTATGGACTGCACTGTGCTAGATTCAGGAATGACAGTGTGATATCTTGGAAGAGAACTAGATATATATTTTTTTGACTGAACATGTGCTTATTAAGTTTTCATGTGATGAAATTGTGTGTCTGCCCAGTACCAATTCCCTCTAGAAGAAGAAGGGTCACCTGTGTCCGTTTCCCCCACAGGCGCGGCATGGCGGCTCCGTGCTCCCAGCAGGCCGTGCTGCAGCAGGTCAGCCAGCTCTGGTCCCTGCTGGACGACCTGTCAGAGAGCAGCCCCGAGGGCTACCGCAGGTTCATCCAGCAGCAGCTGAAGGACGGGGCTGATTACTACAGCAGCCCTCAGGCTCACTCCTGTCTGCGCACTGAGATACTGGTACACACTCCCCCGTCT